GAGCAGCCAGGGATCAGGTTAGGAAAGCTAAAGCCCTGATAGAATTAAATCCAGCCAGGGACGTCAAGGGCAACAAGAAAAGCTTCCATAGGTACCTCGGTGGTAAAAGGAAGACTAGGGAAAATATGGGCCCTCTCCAGAAAGAAACAGGAGACCTGGCTACCTGGGATATGGAGAAGGCTGAGGTATTCAATAACTGTTTTGCCTCAGTCTTCGCTGGCAAGTGCTCAAACACCACCGCCCAAGTCACAGAAGGCAAAGGAGAATGAAGAACCGCCCACTGTAGGAGAAGATCAGGTTCGTGACCATCTAAGGACCCTGAAGGTGCACAAGTCCATGGGACCTGATGAGATGCGTCCGTGGGTCCCGAGGGAACTGGCGAATGAGGTTGCTAAGCCACTATCCATCGTATTTGAGGAGCTGTGGCAGTCTGGTGAAGTTCCCACTGACCGGAAAAGGGGAAACATAACCCCCATTTTTAAAAAGGGCAAAAGAGCCGGCAATGTGCACTCGCAACCCAGAAGACCAATCGTATCCTGGGCTGCATCAAAAGAAGCGTGGCCAGCAGGTCGAGGGAGGTGATTCTGCCTCTCTACTCTGCTCTGGTGAGACCCCACCTGGAGTACTGCGTCCAGCTCTGGGGCCCCCGACAGAAGAAGGACATGGACCTGTTGGAGCAAGTCCAGAGGAGGGCCACGAAGATGATCAGAGGGCTGAAGCACCTCCCCTGTGAGGACAGATGAGATAGTTGGGGTTGTTCAGCCTGGAGAGGAGAAGGCTCTGGGTGACACCTTATTGCAGCCTTCCAGTACCTGAAGGGGGCCTACAAGAAAGCTGGAGAGGGACTTTTTACAAGGGCCTGAAGTGATAGGACAAGGGGTAATGGCTTTAAACTGAAAGAGAGGAGATTTAGATTAGCTCTAAGGAAGAAATTCTTCACTATGAGGGTGGTGAGGCACTGGAACAGGTTGCCCAGAGAATTTGTGGATGCCCCATCTTTGGAAGTGTTCAAAGACAGGAAGGCTGGGGCTTTGAGCAACCTCGTCTAGCAGAAGGTGTCCTGGCCCATGGCAGGGGGGCTGGAACTAGATGATTTTTAAGGTCCCTTCCAACCCAAACCATTCTATGATCCTATGAAGTACTTTGAAACCTGCCATGAGAAGCTTCTTGGAAAGTCTAATCTGAATTTACTTTCACTCCAACAGTCTTAATACTACTTTACAGTAGAATTACTAATAGAACTACAGAGGCAAGAGATCCACGTACCCAGTACTCCTGCTTACAGTAATAACCCATTTCACATTCCTCAGGAGAATCACCCCCAGTTTTTTTCCTTCAGGTCACAAGGAGGAAGAACAATTGGACGGCAAAGGTAGATTAAGACACCGTGTAGAATAAGACTCTGAAAATGTTGACTTTTCACACACACAAACAAAACTGCTTACACAGCAACAGACTTCTTTCAAATACAGCCGGCTCCAATGTACAAAACTGTGCACTTGAGCAACTCAGCTAATTCCTACCAGCCCAAAGCAAAAGCGCATGGCATCGTGCACCTCTGCAGAATGTGCGACCTTTAAATAATTAAGTATTTAGCAAGGATGAAGGTGTAACATCTCTAGGTTTCCTGGCTATTTCTAAATCAAGGCTTAAGTATCTTGTAGAAGAGTCTCCTTGCACAGAACAGCAATTCAGAAGAGCAGCTTGCTTATTGAAAATTCTCCTCCTTGAGAGAATATCCTTGGCAATATTAACTCCTTGTAAAACCAAAGCACTTAGCTACTTCATTCACAACTATCATTTGCAATAGTCCTGTGCATGAGTGGGTACCTGCCATACATTTTAGCAAGAAGCCTCAACACTGCATCTGGAACCTCAGAGGATGACTTGACCCATCATTTCTGTAAATGCACTCCATTAGTGAGCTTCCTCCATAATAAAAAAGCCTTCCTAAGGTGTCAGATATCCCTTATAAAACTGCAGTAACCATGCAGCCTTCACAATGCACTTGAAATCAGCTGCAGAGGTTTGTGTGACACAGATTTGAAAACATGAGGTCAGCAAAAACACTCACTTCTCAGACACAATGGTATGAATTACATCCATTATTCAACTTCCTGGATACTACTAAATTTTTTTTAAACAAAGCAACTGCAGAATCTAAAGGCCTTGGTTTCAAGTTTATATTCAGCTCACCGCTGAGTCTCCTCCTGTGCTGACTTACCCCCCTCCCCGCTCCACCTTCCGTACCCACCAAAATGTGTACCTTTCCATAAACAGTAGTTTCCCCATTTCTCATGCTAGGAAATTAAAGTCCCAATATCACATTTTTGCTCTGTAAGAACCTTTCTCCAGCCTCAATGCTTCAACTAGGAACGTCTGACAGCATCCATTTGCTGACGCTCAGTTCTACAGGGCCATCTTCATGCTTTCTAGGAAGATAATGATGCTGGAAAATCCAAACATTTATTCCATTTGGGAACAGTATAACAAAAGCAAGAACTAACAGCTGTGCTGCCCTCTAACATCTCAGAACTCCTGGAGAATGAACTCATGGGGATCCAGGCACTGAATGTTTCCACATCAGTTTCTTCTGCTTCACTTGACCTTGCTTGAAATTTTACCAGCCTCCTTGTTTGGTATTCCTCTACCAAGGACAAAAAACAGCCATGCAGGTTTGAGCAGTTTGCTAACATTCAACAACAGCAGTTTGCCATACTACCTCTAACAGCCGTGATAAACTTGCAAATATTTCACGACATCAATTTTGAGGGAGTGGAGGTGATCGTATTTAATTATCTTTGAGGATTTACATAGTCGTCCTTATAAAATAGGTTAGTACTAGAAGTGACATATTCTATAGCTACTCTACAGCTTATGGCTTAAGTGTTGCTCCTCTGCACACCACCTTGTGGTGGCAGCTCCTCCTGAAAACTGCAACTCCCAGTTACTACAAGATGTATTCCTCACCTCTAAGTATTCTCCAGTACAGAAACAAAGTTTGCTCATGTATGAATTTGACATTTTAGGACACCATTAGCTCCTGTGTTGCGTTGCGATCCTTCGTGCCATTGTTGAAGGAAGGAACACAGGACATAGGGCAGCCTAAGAACAGCACCCAAACCCCTGTGTTAATTTACACACTACACCTTCTGCCAGGGTAGAAGCAGAAGCTGCAATCCAGAAGCTGAGTTCTGTGGGACTCATCACACGCTCTACAGGTCACAACAAACAGCTCAATTCTGGGGTCTTACAGACATTACTCACCTCATCTATGTTTCTGAGCCACTTGCTGATGTTTTCAAAGCTCTTGGCATTGGTGATGTCATATACTAGCATGATCCCCATGGCACCTCTGTAATAGGAGGTGGTGATGGTGTGAAACCGTTCCTGCCCCGCTGTGTCCCTGCGGAAAACAGACAAGAGTACATATCAGAGGCAAGCTCTAAAGAAACCAGCACGGTGTATCTATGAGACAAGAGTGCACGGCACGATACATGCTCTATTGCACCACTACTGAGGGACGTGCAATGCTTTCGAAGAGCAGTAGGACACACTCCAATGTGCACCAGCAGCAGCTTCAAGGAATGCCCATTCCCTCCCAGACGTAGCTGAACACTCAGAGAACAAAAAGGGCAAGATTCAGTAAGCCAGGCTCATAAGGCTACAGAAACTTAGGGCTTGAAGTTTCTCTTTTGGATTTTACTTTAAAGGGGATTGGTTTTTTTAAAAAACACATTTCAGAGTCAACTATGACAGAGACAAAAGACGCTGGACTGTTTAAGTGGGCTTACGCAACTAAGATGGCAGAAGATGAAGCTATCTGTTGAACAGCAAAGTGGTAACTTGCAGTAGGTCTTCTGGTAACTACCACAATAAATAAAGCCAGTATCAAGTCACAGTAGAAACATGTTCATTTTAAACTTTGTATTTTTATTGACAACTTGAAACTTGCACCCAAAAGGAGGAACTTTTATTTGCAAGTCTCATATCTCAGGGAAGTGCCTCTGACTTCTGAGCCCTGGTGGAACCCAGTAGCAGACAGGATGAAAACAGGAGCAAGAAATGCTCTACCAACACTTCGACAGGACTGTGAGCTCCAGCAGTGGGAGCGTCTGAACAACCCCAGAAACATCGTTGTCCCAGACACCCTCTCCTGTTACTGACCAGTTCTTCCCAAATGAACGTAAAAATAAGCCACTTTAAAACTCTATCTACAATTTTTAAGTTATGTACCATAACCACAACCACTGACCAGCCTGATTAGACCCTGCACAAACCCAGCTGACTCAGTACTCAAGTTTCTGTAGGAAGTTCCCAAAATGCTGTAGAGGTTGTTTAGCAGTGCCGCTGCCAAAGTCAGCAGAGTCTGGAACTGCAACCAGCGATGACCTGACCCAACTATCCAGTCAACACCACCACAATGCCCAAGAAGATCCCTTTCCATTTCAGCAGCTGCTGAGCAGCCACAAAGACAATCACTCAACATTTTCTGGAACTCAGACTTAAAACCGAGAAGAATTTTGTTTTCAGTTCAGTTCAGTTTTATAAAGCTTTAACGTGATCTTACAAATTGATATTCCTGAAATTTTAGATTAAAGTGTATGAAAAGTAAATCTAGAAGATGTACTGTAACATTCAATTGTCTATTTCTATAAGCAGTATGCTGAAAATTGATCATGCAAGATTAATGACAGTATGTATCTTCCCATTTAATTTTGAGATCTTTGATGGAATGCATGAGATTTGGTTAAACAAACTCGCATGCCATTAAGTTGAGAATTAAGAGTTAACTGCGTATTCTAGTGTCTTTCAGAGAACGTAAACCTAACAGATTACATGTTCACAGACAGTTTTCAGCGACACTAGTCACACAAGGTAGAATCAAAGGTGTCTCCAAATTTAAACTGGTCTAAATTGAGATTAAACATTCCCTAACCGCCTTCAGCAAGACACAGCATTCCCCCCCAACCCACAGACCCACATTTCCTCACTCACAAACCTCAGAAAAGATCACAGACTGGAGCTGAACTAGCTCAACTCATTTCCCTCTCAACTGTTCCTGAGGTCACAGCGAATGCCTTGGCAGAACACGGACACCACCAGGCACCAAGCCCTGTGAAAACTCGGCTCTCCCCACTGCCCCGTCACCTACAGTTGAACCAACAAATGCTGACTGTAGTTGCCAAATCAATTTGTTTAAGCACACGTCAGATTTCTGGCCAAGTATCAGTTGGCAAATAGGGAGTAAATTAAAAGCCCTGAAATCTGAAGATGCCACGGAGGAAAGTTTCCTGAGATGCAGGGAGAAGTGCTCTACCAAGTTTCTTCTCAAAGAGTCTTATTGGCTCTGTTTGGCTTGGACCTCAGATCACAGTTCTAGCACACACGACAGCCACCCGAGAGGCTGATTGCTCCCAGTCTTTTATCTTCTCCTAGGAGATGACAAACACCAGGAAGAGGGCAAAGAGCAGAGGAGGAGGAATAGGGGCAGGTCCTAAACCCGAGCACCACTTTGTTCAGAGATGTTCTAACAGGCCATGCTGCGCAGAGGTCTGGCTCACTGGCGGTAGCCTCGGGAGGCAATCTAGTCCATTCCCTGGCTCTACAAAACGTTGAGGGATACCCACATTATTCCTGAAAGATGCCTGATGTTCTGCTGAAGACCTCTGACGATTGCTGGCTTGAATCCCTCTCTCTCATTTCCTTTCTGTCCCATCTGAAAGTTTCTCGTGATGGTACACTTGGGTTTTCCTTAGTGCAAATTAAGGCCATCAATCCCTGTCTTACCTTTCATAGGTAACTAGGGGAGTTCCTTTCCCTTCTTTCTGCAACTACTTTTTGCATAATCAAGCTCTTGCACCTTCTCTGAATTTTCTCAAGCCACCTCAAGTTCTTTAGACCTTACTCACTGGCCAAAGGTCTAAGATACGCAGCCTCACTTATTACTCTCTGGACTCCCTCCAATTTGCCCATGTCTAAGCAAAAACCAGGATGCTACTCCAGCTGAAGTCTTACCAGACTCGTATAGGAATATTTTCTAGAAGACTTGGGCATACCTGTTTACGCATCCCACACCCTTTCCTCATGATGAAGCAGATTTTTCTGACATTCGAGTAGCTGATTACACACACCGAACTTGATAACTTTGCCTTTGTCTCTACTGAATTTCACAGGACTTTTTTCCAATCGGTCAAAAGCAATCTGAATTATAATCCAGTCCTCTACACAATTTATATTTTGCAACTTCATCTTTTCTTGCTTAGCTTAAATACAATAACCATGATCTCTATTCCCTTATCCCAACCATTAAAGAAAACATTGCCTATCATGAAACTCAGGACAGACTCCTCGCAAAATACCTCAACAGAACTCTTACACATCGTTTATTTTCTCTCGCCATGAGTTTTGTATCCACTTGATAGCATCTTCACCTAAGTCACTTCCCCCTAACTTGCTTATGTCAAGCAGGACAGTGTCAGAAAAGCCCTACCAAAAACATGAAGACGTACGGCATCTGCGATTTCTCCCCTCCTGACAAGGCCAGTAGCCATCACAGTAAGAATTCAGGTTGATTTAACACAACTTGGCATTGGCAAGACTTAGTTGTTACTCATTGCTCGTCACGTCCTATGCGCCTACAACTAACTTGCTTAGTTAACTCCTCCAGTGTTTTTTCTGGCAACTGAAGCTAAGCTAATGGATGAAAAGAAAGCTGGGGAGGGAAAAAGCAAAGAACCTGGAATGTTTCCCACCCCCACCTTTTTTTTTAAATAAGTACTATATTTGCCCTTTCCCCTTCTTAATGGATTCTCCATTCATTATTCAGAGATAACTCTTAATGGACGTGAGATTAGAGAACCGACTGAAGCAAACAGAGGAAATGAGTTATGGTTTTCAAACTGCCTACGACTGATGAATCCACCCTGAGCAAATGGCACAAGACAATCGGAGACCGCATGTCTTGTTTACTGCCCTGGCTTTCCATTCTTCTGTTCAAACCTCTAGGAGGTAAGAATATGCTCCAAAGCTATGGGTGTGCAATAAATCCTCGATGTAGGCAAAAACATTGGTGGAAGCTAGCTAGCTCTCCAAGCTAAAATAAATGTAGACAAGGACTATTAAGATAGCTAAGGAAAATGAAACCCTACTGCACAGGAAGAAACTGAGAAAACTTGCTTTGCTTAGCTGCAAAATGAAGACAAAGAAGGTCTTCCTGTGGGACCAGGGAAAGAAGCAGCACAAGGAAAGTAAAAAATCTATTTAAATTATTCTCATGCCAACATTAAAGTATGCGTAAGCTATATCACATTAGAGGTTTAACCAACAAAGGAATTTCTGGGACAGCTTTCCGGTTGACCTAGCAGAGACTAAAGAAACCTTAAAATGTACTATGATTTGTTTATGAAAGATTTACAGGGATGCAACCAGAAGAGATTATATCTGATGATCTGTGAAGATCCTTCCAGTCCACATAGCTCGAAATAAAGGTCTTCAACGTATTAAACCAAATAATTCCTAGCAAAATAATCCTAAGAATTTTATTACTGTCCTACTGTTTCTTCTTACAATATTTTTAAACCTACACAGCAGAATACTGCACTGAAGAAACTGTACTGCTGACAGCAGGCACACTCTGGAAGCTTTAGCAACGGGGTTGAAGACTTTCCTTCACAAAGGAACATCTGTAAGATGCTTCATGACCAGCAAATTTCAGCTTTTCTGAAAAAATACTCAGCTGGAGGAGGGGTGGGGGAATCTATAATGAGTGAAGTATCTAATTGTTTTATAGGAAGTCAGACTGACACGCCAAAAGAGTCTCTTCTACCTTGAGATATGCACATGGTGAATGGTCTCAAAAGCTCTCAGCAGCAGGAGTTAACTTTTAGACGTTCCTAGGGTAATTGCAAAAATTAGTGAGACTGATCGTACCCTAGTTAGTGGTGCTGTCTGCAGCTTTGGCTGTACACCACCACACTTACTAAATGCAAGAACTTGCATATAACAGGGAATTTCCACCTGTGTAACTATTTTGGATAGCTATGCTGCTGCACAATTCTTTCACCTGGACACGTGTTCCAAGTCGGATGATTATTTTTGCAACAAGCTCATTGCTGAATAAAACAAAATTCTGAGGACATTTGTCTAGCCACGCAAACGTGTTCACAGCAAAGATGGACTGATAGAAAAATGTTACTTTATGGTCTTCTACACAGTTAAGAGCTGCAGACTAAAAAAATAAGGTTGTTTCTAAAATTTGGAATCAGTCAGTAAGACTGTAGGAAAATACGCTGACATACAAGTTTTATGTAAAGACAGGAGGATCAGAGTAGCAGCTAAGTAGGAAAAAGAAAAAATGCAGATGTCTTCGAATCTCTGAGTTAAGTGTTTTTCAGTTTACTACAG